GAGCGGTGGGTGTTGCCTTCTGACACACTTCCAGTGATGTCAGGGGGTGTGGCATATGCAAATGAGTTATGCTAATGAGTTATGCTAGAGCTCCTGAAACCTCTTTTTCTACGAAATGACCCCTGGGAGCATCTGTTTGAGAAACATATTGTGGAACTGGATTAGACCGTGTTTCAAGTAGTCACACCTCCATAGTTGAATTCGAGCTTTTCCCCCACTCTGCCTGGCGAAAAGTGCTGTCAAGTCATAGCCGACTTATGGCCACCCTGTAGGGTTTTCAAGGCAAGAGACTAACAGAGGTATTTTTGCCACTGCCTGCCTCTGCGTGGCACCCCTGGACTTCCGTGGTGGTCTCCCAACCAAGTACTAATCCGGTCCGACCCTGCTTAGCTTCCAAAACACAACGAGATCAGGCCGGCGTAGCCCATCAGGTCAAGGCGAGAGATGTTCAGAGGTGGTTTCTCATTGCCTGCCTCTGTGTACCAACCAATGCTCCCTCTAAGCTGTGGAGTCTTGTGAGCGAAAATTCTGCTTTGTGAGCTCCTGGCATTAAAGTGGTGAGCGAGCCGTTTGGCTGCTGCATCGATCAGTTTGCTCTGGAGCCCCCATCCTTCCTGAGCCAAGACAAAAATGTGTGAGCCGGAGGCTAAAGAACTGTGAGCTAGCTCACACTTACTCAGCTTAGAGGGAACACTGGTGGCAACCCTGGACTTCCTTGCTGTTTTCTCATCCGAGTACTAATTAGAGCCGACCCTGCTTAGCTTCTGAGGCCTGACAAGATCGGGCTTGCCTGGACCATCCAGGGCAGGGCAAAATACATACAGAGCTGGTTTGCCACGGCCTGCCTCTGCGTAGCAACCCTGGGCTTCCTTGGTGGTCTCCCATCCCAGTGTTAATCAAGGCCAACTCTTCTTGGCTTCCGAGATCTGCTGAGATCAGGCCAGGCTGGGTCTAATGAAGGATAACGCAACTTTTATAAACCAGTGTACTAAGCTCTTGCCTTAATCTGTTTTGTATCTTGTGCCCTCTAAAACCAACAAGTTACTCAACTGTACAGATATTTCTAGGCAAACAAAGGCTCAGAAGCGGAAAAGAGCCAGAGTCCAGCAGCACCTTAAAGACTAACAAAATACATGGTGGGGAATGAGCTTTTGTGAGTCACTCCTCACTTCTTCAGATACCTTTAAAGACTAACAAAACACGTGGCAGGGAATGAGCTTGCGTGAGTCACTCCTCACTTCTTCAGATACCTTTAAAGACTAACAAAATACGTGGCAGGGAATGAGCTTGCGTGAGTCACTCCTCACTTCTTCAGATACTGAAGAAGGGAGTAGTGACTCACGAAAGCTCCCTCCCCTGCCACATATTCTGTTAGTCTTTAAGGTGGCTCCTGGACTCTTGCTCTTTTCTACTGCTACAGACAGACTAACACGGCCACCCATCTTGATCTATCTGCATAAAAGGCTCAGAAATAAAATGCAGATGAACTGTAGGTATCTCATGCAAGAACTATTTTTACACGTACAAAGATCGCTTCCTCTTACCAAATGCAAGGATCTTACACAGACCTGTGCAAAAGTCACTAAAAGCCCTCGTCGGTTTCCAGCAGTCAGGTACCTACCTACAGCACCCACGTGCCCGTTTGCAGCTGCCATCATAAGTGGTGTTTTCCCTGAATTGTCTGCAACGTTTACTTGCGCACTGTGGCTTAAAAGAAGCTGCAAGCACTCCACGTGATCGGAAAAGGCTGCTGCGTGGAGGGGCGTTCTAGGAGGAGACACAAGAATTCAAGAGGTCTGACACGGAAGAATACCTGAGCAGGATGCTACGTGATCATGTCTGTCACAAGGAATTTTAAGTACGGAAACAATGGGGAAACCCCACACCCTGTGGTCTTCAATACCAGTATACAGGGCTATTTTTGGGCAGGAACGCACAGGAACGGAGTTCCGGCTGGCTCCCGAGTTGGCCACGCCCAGCAGGAACTCATTAGCATAATAGGCCACGCCCAACAGCAGGGACTCATTAGGATTGGCTACATTATGTGGCCTAACATGCAAAGGAGTTCCTCCTACAAAAAAGCCCTGGGTTTGGACAACAAACAAGGTAAACAGACTAAGAAGCAAAAGGTGGGTGTGGCTGGATGAGCACACTTCTGGAGGTGTGGCCTAATACGCCAATGAGTTGCGCTGTCAGGGGTGTGGCCTCAAAGGCTAATGAGTTCCTGCTTTTGGGTGTGGCCTATTATGCTAATGAGTTCCTGCTGGGCTCTTTCTACAAAAATTGCCCTGCCAGTATAATTTGTTGCATAAAGAGGTGGGAAAGCATCTGATCAGGAGAGCATCGCGGAGGGAGAGAGAAGGGAAAATATTGTTTCCTATGTCGATGGGTACCCTCTGTGCAAAACCTGTACGGGGGAATGGCCAGTGAGGACTCAACTACAGGATACGCCAAAAAGGCCCACACAGTGGGGCAGACGGGCCGTTCTTCACAGCCGTTTCAGCCGGTGGGAAATGGGGCAGGAGGGAGGCCAAAACCCCTCCTCTCCCAACGCTGTGAGCGGGAACTGAATCCAGCCTGGCTGCACTGGGGAATGTTAGAATCGTAGAATCACAGAGTTGGAAGGGGCCATAGAGAGCATCTAGTCCAACCCCCTGCCCAGTGCAGGACCCGCCTAAAGAGTCTCTGACAAATATTCGTCCAGCCTCTTCTCGAAAGCTGCCAGTGAAGGGGAGCTCACCACCTCCCTCGGCAGCTGATTCCACCTCTGATCCACTCTGACCGTGAAAAAAGGTTTTTCCAAATATCCAGCCGATACCTTTCTGCATGGAATTTAAACCCGTTGCTTCGGGTCCTCCTATCCTCTGCTGCCAACTGGAACAGCTCCTTGCCCTCCTCCCAATGACAGCCTTTCAAATATTTAAAGAGAGCCATCACGTCCCCCCTCAATCTGCTCTTCTCCAGACTAAACATTCCCAGGGCCCTCAGCTTTTCCTCGCAGGGCTCAGTCTTCGGACCCTTGATCGTCCTCGTCGCTCTCTTCTGCACCCTCTCGATTTTGCCCACATCCTTTTTGCCCACATCCTTTTTGAAGTAGTCCGCCAATACTGGGGCCTCCAGAACTGCTAGTTCTGTTAGTTCTCTTGATGTTACGTCATGTGACCTGAGTGCCCCAACCCAACCTGAATCATGCCTATTGTCTAGTGCAGGGGTCCACAACATGGACCTGAGTCCCCCCAACCCAACCTGAGTCATGTCTATTGTCTAGTGCAGGGGTCCACAACATGTGTCCGTGGGCACCTTTGGAACTCTGACAAAGGGGTGGGCGGGCACCATCACAAAACATTTGCCACAGGAGGCAAAGCCCATCACAAAATGAAGGTGGCGCCAACCATAAAATGTCAGGGATTGAGGTTGTATGCAACCGTAATAGTAACTTCAACATTCCTGGGAGAAGCTCTGTTTAACAGGATTCCTTTTCATCGGCGTGGCCAGTCAGAAGCCCTGCTAGGAAAAAGGCCCATCTAGCCCAGCTCTAGGGTTGCCAGGTCCCCCCCAGAACACGAGGGATCCCCCGGTTTCCAGCAATCCCCCCCCCGGCATTGACCAGCTGGCTGGCGGGGGAGGGTTACTGCCCTAAACACAACATGCCTATGTCAACCGGAAGTGACGCAGGCACATCGGTGACGTCGGGGGGCGACGCTCTGGTTTTTGGGCAAAACTCTATGGCAGAATTAGGTTCAAGCCATAGAGGTTTGCCCAAAAACCAGAATGTCAACCCTGATGTCACTGACCTTGCAACCCCACCCCGCCCACATTCTAAAAGCACTTGGCAGGCCCTGTAAAAGTCTAACCTTGAGTCATGTAGTGAATCAGTGGGCAGTAAAGCAGCTGCTACGAAAACTGTAGCAGTGCCAGTCACTGCTGTTATGTGAGATCTTTGTTCCGGTGCTATAATTGTGGCTTTTGACTCTACCTCTGAAGGAGCAAAGGATTTCAACTACCTTATGTCAACAGCCATAACCAATGGACCGTAGGATTATATTGTCCATTATTTATAATGAAGGATAATAGTCTTCAGTCCTGGGTATGCGAACGGAACAAAAGTAGTAAAGACTTATTATGGAGGTAGACATTTGGTTTTAATGACACTCTTGTTTGTTAGAGATGATTCAAGCCGGTCTTAACAAGTCCATATTTTTAAAAGGTAGCATCTGGACATTCTATGAGAACAAAAGGTTTGATCCGGATCTGGGGGTTGGATCCAGAATCGCCCTTCCAACGCGCAGTGACATCCTTCTCTGCAGGGAAATTCCTTTTCTGGGCTGACCTTTGGGACCAATCCAAGAGCTCTGTCTGAGCAATCCTTACCTTCCTCTGTCGTCTTTACAGTTGACGATGCCGGCACCAATGGTCCCAATGAGTAGCGATGCACAGTTTTCATGATCATTGATTCTATAAAGGGGGGGAAAGGACACATTTGAATCCTCTTTCTTGCCCTACCAAGTCTTCTCTTCCATTCCTTTCAACAGACGTTTAGGCATTCCGCCCCCCCTACAGCTTTCCATTTCTGACTTTGTCACGATATCTGTGGCAGACCTAACAAGAGATATCCAATGTATGTATTTTTCCCTCCTCTATAGATTCAGGTGGGTAGCCATGTTGGTCTAAAACAAGAGAACTGGGGGTCATTTCCTGCAGGAGCGCACAGGAGCAGAGCTCCGGCAGTAAAGAGCCCAGGGGGCGGGGCACATGCAATAAGCCCCACCCCCTGCTCCCAGCAGCCCTCAGTCAGAGCAAGAAGCAGCCAGGTAAGTTGCAGAGCCCCCCCCCCGGTCCCCCAGTCTAAAACAATCCAGTGGCACCTTTAAGACCAAGTTTTATTCAGGTACCAGCTCTCCCTCCTCTGCGAGGGCAGATCTGCACGTCTGTCCCCCCCAATAGCTAGCAATCCACAACAGTCCAGTGGAGCCTGAGTGGTGGGTGTTGCCTTCTGACACACTTCCGGTGATGTCGGGGGATGTGGCATATGCAAATCAGTTACGCTAATGTTATGCTAATGAGCTCCTGCACCTCTTTTTCTACAAAATGACTCCTGAAGAGAACTAAGCTTGAGTCCAGCGGCACCTTTAAGACACATGGAGTTTAATTCTGGGTATAAACTTCTGTGTGCATGTGTCATCTGAAATAGGAAAGCTTATACTTGGAATTACGGTAAACTTTGTGGGACTTAAAGATGCCGCTAGGCTCAGACGTTGTTCCCCCTCTGTAGGTTTCCCTTCCCTCCTCATGGACAGCTGTTTGTTTATTGGGATCTACTCTCTCAGGATAGTAGAACCGAAGATTAAAAACTCATAAAAATCCTAATCTCAGAGTTGGATCACAACATCCGTTGTGGTTACTCAACAAAACGACACGCTGCTGAACATGTGAAGGGACTCAGTTTAAAAAAATATGGTGTATGGAGAGAGGCGATGTTTACTGATCGATTTAAAAGGTATAGTTCCTCATTCCCTCCGTTCACGGCAGCACTGGCCGATACAAGTCAACCACAACATACAATAGAGAGCAACCCGTAAAAAATGTAAACCCCCAACAGACACGTGTTAAAAGAGTCTGGGAAAGCTCTATAAAACAAAAGCCGCCATGGGGGGGGGGGGGTCTCACAAAAGATGGACCTCCCCCGATCTCTTCTGAGAGGACATTCCACTGAGTTCTGGTGGTAAGAACATAAGAACATAAGAGACGCCAATGTTGGATCAGGCCAAAGGCCCATCCAGCCCGACACTCTGTGTCACACAGTGGCCAAAAATACCAGTGCCATCAGGAGGTCCACCAGTGGGGCCAGGACACGAGAAGCCCTCCCACTGTTGACCCCCCCAAGCACCAAAAAGTCAGAAAGAGGAAAACCTGTGACTGATATACAGAGCTGGTTTTTTTGGGGGGGGGGTGGAGGTATAACAGAGTGCTGTTGGGGGTGAACTAAGGTTCTGTCTGAAGGGTGTGCCCCTGATCTGTGGATTTAAGTAACTGCAGAAGGGGCCACACCTGGCTATTAGAATATATGATAAATTAAATGACATTACGAAAAGAAGGTAAATGCATCATGTACAAGCCTGGAACACATACAAGCATTGCTTCATATCCCACATTTCACTTTTCCTCTACGCAAGAGCCAGTGTGGTGTAGTGGTTAAGAGTGTGGACTTTAATCTGGGAGAACTGGGTTTGATTCCCCACTCCTCCACATGCAGCCACTGGGTGACCTTGGGGTCAGTCACAGTTCTCTCAGAGCTGTTCTGGAAAGAGCAGTTCTGGAAAGAGCGCTCTCAGCCCCACCTACCTCACAGGCAGTGTTCCCTCTAAGCTGAGTTAGTGTGAGCTAGCTCACCCTTTTTTAGCCTCCAGCTCACCTATTTTTGTCTTAGCTCAGGAAGGATGGCTCCAGAGCAAACTAATTTATGCGGTAGCCAAATTGCTCGCTCACAACTTTAATGCCAGCAGCTCACAAAGTAGAATTTTTGCTCACAAGACTTCACATCTTAGAGGGAACATTGCTCACAGGGTGTCTGTTGTGGGGAGGGGAAGGGAAAGGAGACTGTAAGCCGCTCTGAGACTCCTTCAGGTAGTGACGGGCAGGGTATAAATCCAATCTCTTCTTCTCCCTCCATTTTATCTTCACAGTCGCAACAACCCTGTGAGGTAGGTCAGGCTGAGAGAGAGCGTGACTGGCCCACTGTCACCCAGCAAGCTTCTGTGGCGTGACTGGGGATTCGAACCTGGGTCTCCCAAATCCTAGTCCGCCAGTCTAACTACTACACTACACTGGCTCTGGTACTTCAGAAGGGACCACATCTGGTTCTAGCTATTCGCCAGGGAGCCAATGAGGAGATTGTAGTGTTATCTGACAGATATCAAGCAAAACTACAATTACTGGTTTTGAAGGGGGCTTGTATTGCTCCAAATGTTCCTGTCAGGTATAATATGAAATTATGCAACAGAGCATGTAATTGGTGTGTGTGTGTGTGTGTGTGTGTGTGTGTGTGTGTGTGTGACAAAATAAGATAAATTACAGCGGTGTGTTCTTGCATGCCTAAGAACACTACAATCACTTCTGGGATTGAGATGACAGAATGAAGTGTTCATGGCACACTTTTACTCCTGGGTAAATCAGGAAGCACAGTGGCAGGGCTTGATCCATCTCCCTTTGGGTTTTAACAGTCATTAAACCCTCTCCCTATGTCTTCATTTTCCCAATCATATACCAACAAAGGGAGCAGCAATGAAATGACACCTAAACACAATGGATTGCTGCAAAGTGCATACAATTAAGAATAATAGACAATAATTAAACAATAGTACTGATGAGCTTCACGATGTTTTAATCTTTGTTTTTCAACAATAAGGCACCACCAAACAGAAGATGATGACGTCAAGATGAACGGACGAACCTCCCGAGTCTCCTATCAAGAAATAAATACAGCTTATAGCAGGGAACCTGCTGACCAAACTCACATCAACTTTAACAATAAAGAGGAATACATACAGTTCAGCGTTCTTGTGCATTAAAGTCAACCACAAGGGTGTTCTTAAATTCTGTGAATAAAACAATTTCATTATATCCATAATCTTGTACCATTAATCTATTAAAATTGCAACATTCTAATGTGACCTACTCATATCTTACCAGATAACTTCTTCCACAGCTCTTTGCTAACAGTTACACCTTTCAATCGGACAACAAGTCTTAACCATTACATGCATGACTTTCAATATATTAGCATACACAAACCACGTGCTCCATGTATTGATGATGCCAACTTATCATGTACGATGCTCATGCCAACTTATCATGTACAATGCTTATGCCAACTTATCATATACAATGCTTACATTAAAAAATATTTTTCTTTAATTTACTACAATTTCATATTGACCAGGATTATGTATAACATCAGAGAATCTAAGGCAATGGTAAACTACAGCATCTACAAAGGCATCTTACAGTTCCCCACCATATCAAACACTATGTTAGTCATTAGGACAACTACAGACCACATATGTATTCACAGGACGGTGTTAATCCATTGTACAAACAGTTCCACAACCTTCATTCCTTTAATCAACATGAATAAATCATCAATATAGCGTCTGTAAAATAAAATGTGCTCAAAATAAGGATTGTTACTATGGTTCATTATCCACATCCAGTTCCTTTGCACCCAGCGTTGATAATTTATTTATGGGTGACTTTGAAGAGATGTGGCTAATGAACCATAGTAACAAGTTTTCGCACCTCAGATGTCAATTTTCTGGACACCACAGTTTGTGTGCGATAGGAAGTTAGCTGTTCGTCCCTACCATAAAAACACAGATAGAAACTCTTATTTACATTTCAATTCTCATCATGTTCACCATCTTAAAATCAACCTCCCATATGGACAATTCCTAAGAGCTAAAAGAAATTCCACCACCAATGCAGACTTTGAGATAGAATCAGATAGACTCTGTAAGTTATTTAAGGATAGAGGATATCCTGAATGGATTATAGACAATGCTAGATTTAGAGCCAGGCGTCGCAATCGATCTGATTTATTCAAAGGAAGATCTGAGCATTGCACGGACAACAGACTGTGCTGGGCTTTAGATTTTACAAATAGATCTCATGGAATCAAAAAAAATAGTTCTTAGGCATTGGCACATTTTAAATGATATTTTGGCTTGCCAACAACACCCCATGATTGGTTTTAGAAAGACCCAAAGCATTTGGGACAAGATCATTAGGGCTGACATTCTTCAAAGACATCAACAAGACACCTTACCAAAGGGTCACTTTAAATGTGGCAAATGTGCTGCGTGCCCTTTAATGTGGGAAACAGGTGCACTTAATTTCCCTGAGTCGAATTTTAGAAAGGACTTAGTACAGTTCTCTACATGTGCGACCAAGGGCATCGTGTATTTGATAATCTGTATATGTGGCTTGAAATATGTGGGACAAACATTACGGGCACTCCATACCCGCATACTTGAACATAGATCTAGATTGCGACACGGACATCAAACAGCCCCCCTGGTACCACATTTCACGGAAGTAGGCCATGGTCCAAATGACTTTAAATGTGTCGTTTTGGAAGTGATCCGATCCAAACCATATACCTCCTCTGATATACACAAGTTATTATTGCAAAGGGAGGCGTTTTGGACCTTTAAATTAGACACAGTTCAACCAGCTGGGTTGAATGCAGCTTTAGAGCTGTCATGTTTCCTGTGAATACTTATTGGGTTCTGTAGTTGTTCTAGTGATCAACATAGTGTTTGACATGGTGGGAAATTGTAAGATGCCTTTGTAGATGCTGTAGTTTGATTGTAGTAAATTAAAGAGGTTTTTTTATATAAGCATTGTACATGATAAATTGGCAGAAGCATTGTACATGATAAGTTGGCATGAGCTGAATGCAGCTTTAGAGCTGTCATGTTTCCTGTGAATACTTATGCGGTCTGTAGTTGTCCTAATGACTAACATAGTGTTTGATATGGTGGGGAACTGTAAGATGCCTTTGTAGATGCTGTAGTTTACCATTGCCTTAGATTCTCTGATGTTATACATAATCCTGGTCAATATGAAATTGTAGTAAATTAAAGAAAAATATTTTTTTATATAAGCATTGTATATGATAAGTTGGCATAAGCATTGTACATGATAAGCTGGCATGAGCATCGTACATGATAAGTTGGCATCATCAATACATGGAGCACGTGGTTTGTGTATGCTAATATATTGAAAGTCATGCATGTAATGGTTAAGACTTGTTGTCCGATTGAAAGGTGTAACTGTTAGCAAAGAGCTGTGGAAGAAGTTATCTGGTAAGATATGAGTAGGTCACATTAGAATGTTGCAATTTTAATAGATTAATGGTACAAGATTATGGATATAATGAAATTGTTTTATTCACAGAATTTAAGAACACCCTTGTGGTTGACTTTATTGCACAAGAACGCTGAACTGTATGTATTCCTCTTTATTGCTAAAGTTGATGTGAGTTTGGTCAGCAGGTTCCCTGCCATAAGCTGTATCTATTTCTTGATAGGAGACCTGTTTGATAAAGAAACTTCGAAACGAACGGTAACTCGGGAGGTTCGTCCGTTCATCTTGACGTCATCATCTTCTGTTTGGTGGCGCCCTATTGTTGAAAAACAAAGATTAAAACATCATGAAGCTCATCAGTACTATTGTCTATTATTCTTAATTGTATGCACTTTGCAGCAATCCATTGTGTTCATTTTCCCAATGACAGTTATCATTTTGCCTGCATTTATGCCGTGGGAAATGTGAACGATTATCATCTTAATTCCCACCGCCGTAATTTGCTAAGGAGGGATTTTTAACAGAAAGGAAGTCACTGGATTCCAAAGGACCTGAGAATACGATTGTCTCCACGGCTTGACTTCTCGTGCGTTGCGAGTTCCCCATGCAGCTTAAGTGACAGCAAATCAGATATGATGCCTCTGTTACTACTTACACAGCACAGTGCAAGGGAGAGAAAGGGTTCCCGTTAAAGTCCCGGAAAGGTTTCTGTTCCAGCAGTACCTCTACGCAGCCTTCGTTGCCTATGAGAGATCGGATAAAAGCCACAAGGTGCTTCAGATTGTTGAAAATACTTTCACAATGCAGATAAATATTTATTGTTTGAAGGCAGACCGCATCCTGTATCTTCAGCTGTGTTAATTAGATACTCTTCTAAATTTGTGCCCTGTGAGACCAAACAAGGCCCCTAGGATGTAAGCAAGGCCCTTTAGGACCCTTTTCTTAGAGTTTAAAAAAGACTTCTGTCTACAAAATGCAAACTGCAGAGTCGTGTGTAGCCTCAATTTGCCTCAGGGCCACGTTTCAGGAAGGAGAAGGCCTGTGAATCCTCAACCGCTGCTCATTTGCAATCCCTGAAACCAGATTTCCCACTCTTCCAACTAGCATTTTAAAGCAGAAAAAGGCATGTCCTTAAAATAATGATTTCAAAACACTAATAGCAAATCAGACATTTTAGTTTCTAGTTGCGGCACAGAACAGAGGTTGACGTGTGACGCCCCCCTCTCCCTGCCCTGCGTGGCCCCAAGAACACTGAGACGGCACAAGACTGTAATTTGCATTTCATAGATGGATGGAGATGTGTGATATTCTGGCAGGTCTGCGTTTGCTAAATTTGCTTGTAGCCATAAAAAAAGTACTACTCTGATCAGCAAGTCTTTGCTTTCGGGCTATTTTTATTCTTGGGAAGTTCCAGGGGATTTCAGCTTTTTTTCCTCCTTTCCTTAGGCTGAAAAGAAATATCTGACTGTACACTGATCTATGCCATCTATTTATAGACTGATTTCTTTGACCCTCATTCATAAGAGGCAAATAAAATGGGGACAAGGATAGCTGAGCTCCCCCTTGATGGGCTGGGTCACCTTACAGCAACCCTTCAAATTTTAGTTTCTAGTTGCGGTACAGAACAGAGGTTGACGTGTTAAGCCCCCCTCTCCCGATCGGCTAACTAAACCCCCCCGGTGGGGGTTGTGTTAGCCGATCGGATGGTCTGCGCGTAAGATCCGAAAGCTGAGAAAGATCTACGCAGCGTTGAAGAAAAGCCTGCAATAGGCCATTCGGCCAGACGATGGCAGTGATGCGCTGCGACTGAGACAATGCTGACGACATCAAGCGACGCCGGAAAAAAAAAAGGAATGCTGCCGGGAACATGTTTGGACCTTACAGCCGACCAAACTCCGTCGACTACGAAATGTGTATGATTTAATTATATATGTTGTCCTCCCTTACCCCCAGCATTGTTAGTCCCATGTGAAATTCAGGAGTAACTGTAAATCGCTCAGAGCCGGCAGCTCTGCATGGATTGAGCGATCAATAAATGGAAATATTATTATTATTATTATTATTATCATTATTATCATTATCATTATCATTATTATATCAAAGATGTATCCCAGGTAGGGTTGCCACCCCCCTAATGGGGGTGGGGGTTCTCCTGCTTTCGGGGGGCCCAATATGCCAATGGGGGAGCCCAATAGGCCAGTGGGGGAGCCCCACCCCCAAAGAGCCCTGTTGCACCTGACATGCCCAGCGCGGTGACATCACCCGGAAGTGATGCCATCATGCTGGGCACGTCACACGAGGGGGACGCTCTAGCCTTTGGGTTAAAACTCTATTTTGATCATAGAGGGTTTTTTTTGCCCAAATGCTAGAGTGTCCCCTGCACAACGAGCCTGATATGATGACATCACTTCTGGGTGACGTCATTGTGGGGCGCATGCGAAGATCCCGGGACCGGGCAGGAGCACCCCCCCCCTAATCCCAGGGTCCACAACATGATGCCCAGGGGGCCATGGTGTCCACCAACCCCTTTCCTGGCACCTGCCAAATATTTTTAGAACATGGGCGGGGCCAGGTGGGGCCCAGCAGGGCCTCTGATTGCCCATCTGCGATCTGTTTGGCTGTGCAGATTAAAATAACATTTCAGCGACAGCTGCCTCAACACGGCTGGTTTCATTCTCTCCCCGACTCCTCATCCCCAGTGTATGTTTCACATCTGCTCCTCTTCTCCCCCTGCACTTGAGCTTCCTCTGTGTGTGTGGTGTGCCCCCCTCCCACGTGGCCATGGTGTGGATGCGCCCATCACCCCGTGTCAGAATTCAAATGGCGCCCACCGGCTGAGAAAGGTCGGGGATCTCTGACGTATCCTCTCTATTGCAGAAGAAAAGTTTCAGGCCCACACGTAAGAAATAGCAGTCATGTAGGACAGTATCAGGTGGGCTAGTAAAGGTAAGAGGTAAAGGTACTAACCAGGCTTGTAAACCTGGATTAAATTCTGAACGAAGTCTCGAATTTTCGTTAGGTGAAACATGAAAAATTTGTGTATCCTTGTATTTTTGTCATTTATATTGGTTTATACGGTTTCATATTGTTTAATTATGTTTATAAAGACCTATGATTTAAAAAAATAAATAAACTGGTATTAAACCAGTACTGCCCTTAGCTGGATAGACCCAAGCTAGCCCAATCTTCTCAGATCTTGGAAGCTAAGCAGGGTCGGCCCTGGTGAGTGTTTTGGTGGGAGGCCTCCGAGGAATACCAGGGTCATGACACAGAGGCAGACAAGGGCAACCCACCTCCGGATGTCTCTTGCTTCGAAAACCCTGCGGGGTTGCCTGAATCAGCTGTGATTGGGTACTTTCCACCACCAACAACCATCTTGAGTATGTTGCAAGAGTTTCTGATGTAGTTGACAATGACCAGAAAGCTTGCTGATGCCCACCCTACTTCTTCTTTGGGTTTTTTGGGGGGGTGTCAAGTTGCAGTCAACTTATGGCAACCCCTTGGGGTTTCCAAGGGCAGAGACATCTGGAAATGGTTTGCCATTGGCTACCTCTGCATAGTGACCCCGGACTTCCCATCCAAGGGCCAATCGTGCTTAGCTTCCAAGATCTGACGAGACTGAGCAAGCTTGGGCTGTCCAGGTCAGGGCCCACCTTACGTAAAGGTAAAGGTCTCCCTTGCTCGAAAGCCAGTCGAATCCGACTCTAGGGTTGCGGTGCTCATCTCCATTTCAAAGCCGAAGAGCCAGCGCTGTCCGAAGATGTTTCCGTGGTCATGTGGCCGGCATGACTAAACACCAAGGTGCACGGAACGCTGTTACCTTCCCACCTTACGTACCTTATGCTAAATTTGAGTTTGACAGAAAAGCTTACCATTATAAGAAGCCCAGTGCAATGGGGTATAATTCTGATTATCTTTAAAATTATAGTCCTCTTCCGAAAGTGCCAACTGCACTAATTCGCTCAGCCATGTGGCATGACCGCGAGCTGCCGCATAATGTAGGGGTGTCCTGCCTCTGGCGTCTTTACACAAAATCAGTGCATCTTGTTCCAATAGCATCTGGACACATTCCTCATGTCCCATCAAAATCTGATCAAAACACACAAATAAACAAATAATTACAAAGTCACAGGTAGTAGGTAAAGTAATTTGAATCTAAGATGTACGGCATGTTTTCGAAGTGCTGTGGACTCACGGTCGGCAGGGGCGTAGCCAGGAATTTGTCAGTGGGGGGAACCGAGGGGGCGTGATGTCATTTATGACATCACACAAATAAAAGGCTCCCCTCTTCTTTGTCTCTTGGCTGCAGGTGGGCTCACGGCTTGAGTGGTGTTTAAATGGGGGAGCCGAGAGCTGAGGCTCCCCCCCCATTTTAAATGCCGCTCAAGCGGCGAGCCCACCCACAGCCAGTAGAGGAGGAAGAGCCTCTTCCTTGTCTACTGGCTGCAGGCGGGGGAGCTGCTCAGATGGCATGGAGCTACGGATGGGGCAGAGCTCACTAATGAGGGGGCATGGCCTCAAAATGCACCACCATAGCTATGTGCCTGACGGTAGGAATTCCCGAGTGCCTTTTGTGTTTATCATGCGTGAAAACACAGGCCCTGGCTTTTACTTATACCCTCTGCTAGATAACCATTGTGGCAATACAGCTGAAAATGAATGTCCTTGGCTACCTAGTTAGATTCATACTCGTGTTATATAGCTTTTGATGTTACCATCTGAAAAACTCGAATGAAAGAAATTAGTATCATTGGTAATCACATGGTGGCTGCATTCGGACACCAGGGATAAAACTGGTTTAGTGTGAAGTCTGAAAGCAGGCTCCCCAACCAGCTGCCATATGTTGGTGGGTGCTAAACAGGAATTATAAATGATCCATTCTGGCCAGGCGGTGGCAGTGTTGCACTGCAACTGAAAGAGCTGACGACATGCCGAGGGAGAATGCCGTTGGAACACGTCTGAAGCTTACAGCTGGATAAACTCCCCGTCGGCTGCGAAATGTGTACAATTTAAAGAATGTTGTCCTCCCTTACCCCTATCATTGTTAGTCCCTTGTGAATACATGAGTAACTGTAAATCGCTCAGAGCCAGCAGCTCTGCAAGGATTGAGCGATTAATAAATCGAAAGATGATGATGATGATGATTATCATTTGTACCTAGTTTATTGGCTGAGGCATATATTAACTGTGGTTTGTCATAACGGGTAGAAACTCCGGTTTGTTCAGTAGTAACCAGCATAGAGAGAGGGAAGCACAGAACAACAGTAAATGTCGCCTCTCCAGCAACATCGGCTATGGATGGTGCTGTTCTTTTTTTTTTTTTAAATTGTTTTTAACATATAGATGGTGCTGTTCTAAGGATGCCCCCTGTCTTGTCTATACGCACAAACACACACAAGTGCACTTCTGCTAGTGACTAATCCAGCAGGAACCTACCACTTCACTTGGGAAAATTTGAAGCCTTCCTGGGGTTGCCAAGGTCCTCCTGGCAACTGGCGGGGGATGGAGGGGGATTTACTGGGAGCAGGAAGGAGGCCTAGCTGACTGCAGTGACGTGGCTACATCACTGCCCACATTACCCGAAAGTGACATCATCACATCGTGGATGTTGAGGCGATGCTCTGGTATTTGAGCAAAAACTCTATGGTAAATTTGGCTTCTACCATAGAGATTTTGCCCAAATACCAGAAGAAGAAGAAGAAGAGAAAAAGAAGATAGTTGCTCTGATGTGATGATGTCACTTCCGGGTCATGCGGGCAGTGATGTAGACATGTTGCCTCACGTCAGCTGGATCTCTCTCTTTTTCAGGGATCTCCCTCTTTTTCAGTGTAAATTCCCCCTGTCAGCTAGCTGATTGGTGGTGGGGCGGTGGGGCCTGGCAGTGGGGGATCCCCACCTCCACTGGGGGGGTCTGGTAACCCTAAGCCTCCCTCTAGCCTAAGGAAACTCCCTCCAACTCAAGTGTCCTGTTCTTCAGTGGAAGAACCACTTGTATGAAGGAAAGCTCCAAGTTCTGCTGAGTGGAATGGTAGGATACAGGCCTACCTCTACACCCTCTAAGCTGTGGAGTCTTGTGAGCAAAAATTCTACTTGGTGAGGCACTGGCATTAAAGTTGTGAGCGAGTTATTTGGCTCCTGCATACATCAGTCTCCTCTTCAGCCATTCCTTCCTGAGCTAAGACAAAAAATGTGTGAGCCGGAGGCTGAAAAACAGTGAGCTAGCTCACACTAACTCGGCTTAGAGGGAACACTGGATACAGGCCAGAGATTTTAGCCTCTTTAGAGAGGAAAGTTGGGAAAGAGGGTTGTGAAAGCTCTGCTTTATTTCTGAGCGGACTGTAGTAGAATGTGACGCTGGGTAGAAAAGGAGAGCAAAACAAAATCGGCAAATCAATCAACAAAACAAAAAGGAGGTGAAGGCCATGAAACGTTTATTCTGTTTCGGAGTTTGAAAGTTCAGGAATTCGTCGGCTAGAAAGAAAAGGGGAAGAGAAGGGAGACTGAGAAGCCTTAGCCACGGAGAACAAGGAGGAAACTTGGTTCGCTTCCCTCCCACCCTGGCCCTCCCATCCACTGCATTCAACCAATAGCAAACAGGCTGCGTATATAGTGAGGCTTTGCCAATAGCCTGGCAGGGCGAAAAAGGTGGGGACAGGAGCCAGGTATTCTGCCTGGAGGTGGGAAAGGAGACAAACTGCAGACTAACTAGGACTCAAAGCAAACTGCAACTTGTTATGCATCTGCAGGAGACTAATCCCGATTTGGGCACAAACTGTGGTTCAAACAAGGCACTATTTGGGGGCATTTGACTGGGTCAAGAATATGAGGAGAACCTGCTGGATCAGACCAGTAGTCCATCCAGTCCAGTAGAATGTTCACACAGCTGACAGCCAGTTAGAACCTAAGAGAAGCCAAGTTGGATCAGGCCAACGGCCCATCCGGTCCAACACTCTGTCTCCCATAGTGGCCAAAACCCAGGGGCCACCCGGAGGTCCATCATAGGGCCAGAACTCTAGAAGCCCTCCCACTGTTGCTCCCCCCACCCCCCAAGCACCAAGAAGACAGATCATCACTTCCCCAGACATAAGAACTGGTTGGCCACTGCGTGAGGTGGGATGCTGGACTAGATGGACCCTCACTGGTCTGATCGAGCAGGGCTCTTCTGATATTTGTAGGAAGGCCTCGGCCTCTGTGCCCTGCTGTTGGCCGTCCGGTTCTACTACTACGGACTAACACAGCTGCTCATCAGAAACTAATATCATCCAGTGTATTTCAGAACAGAAATGTAAAAATACAGCCCATAACCATAAAATATAAATACCACAGGATCAAGTGCTGTAAAGCCAACAGTTACCCCTCGATGCAGAGCGGTGCACCCCAGGATATCGACCGTGTCCACAGAGGCTTCTTTTTCAAGTAACAAGGAAACAGCATCTATGTGCCCGTAAGCCACAGCCAACATCAGCGGCGTCCTAAAAAGAGAGAAACCACCATTGTGTCACACCAAATCTGTGGGTTGTTTTTTTTTAACTCAACGCATCACAAATTCACTAAGGAAGTTTAATATTATTTTAGATAACGTGGAGAAAATTACATGTAGCAAAATCTTCACTTTCTGAAAACGGTCTTCATCAAACTTCCATTCTTCTAAACTTACTCGAAATGGCTAATGCTTAAACTAACAATTTTAGTATCCGTTTTGATTGTATTCTTAAAGACTGTATTGTATTCTTGTGTTCTGAGAGAGAGAGAGAGAGAGGGAGAGAGAGAGAGAGAGAGAGAGAGATTGTAATCTTGTATTCTTAAATATTGTATTCTTAGAGAGAGAGAGATTGAATTATTGTATTCTTAAAGATTATATTCTTAGCGAGAGGGAGAGAGAGAGAGAGAGAGGGAGATTGATTCTATTTTTTAAAGATCATATTGAGAGAGAGAGACAGAGAGAGAGACAGAGAGATTGTATTCTTGTATTCTTAAAGATTGTATTCAGAGACAGAGACAGATTGTATTCTTGTAGATTGTATTCAGAGAAAGAGATTGTATTCTTGTATTCTTAAAGATTGTATTCTGAGAGAGAGAGAGAGAGAGAGAGAGAGAGAGAGAGAGAGAGAGAGAGAGAGAGAGGGAGATAGTATTGTATTCTTGTGTTCCGAGAGAGAGAGAGAGAGAGAGAGAGAGAGAATTCTTGTATTCTCAGAGAGATTGAATTCTTGTATTCTTAAAGATTATATTCTTAGAGAGAGGGAGAGAAAGAGAGAGGGAGATTGATTCTATTTTTAAAGATCGTATTGAGAAAGAGAGAGAGAGAGATATTGTATTCTTGTATTCTTAAAGATTGTATTCATAGAGAGAGATTGTATTCTTAAAGATTGTATTCTTAGAGAGAGGGAGAGGGGGGGAGATTGATTCTATTTTTAAAGATCGTATTGAGAAAGAGAGAGAGAGAGATATTGTATTCTTGTATTCTTAAAGATTGTATTCAGAGAGAGAGACAGATTGTATTCTTGTAGATTGTATTCAGAGAGAGAGAGAGACTGTATTCTTGTATTCTTAAAGATTGTATTCTTAGAGAGATTGTATTCTTGCATTCTTAAAGATTGTATTTTTGTATTCAGAGAGAGAGACTGTATTCTTGTATTCTTAAAGATTGTATTCTTAGAGAGATTGTATTCTTGCATTCTTAAAGATTGTATTTGCAGAGAGAGAGAGAGAGAGATTGTATTCTTGTATTCTTAGAGAGATTGTATTCTTGTATTCTTAAAAATTGTATTCTGAGTGAGAGAGAGCGCAAATATGCAGAATGGGCTCAAAAGTGCTAGTTTACAGAGCTCACGCTGAAAAAATCAGGACTAGGCTGCATGTCATTTCACATACCACCCCATGGCATTATTTTATGATATGACATTGGCTCCATTATTAAGTGTATCAATTCAAAAAAGAGATGTCAAAAGGTACCCAAACAGTTCAAGTGGAAAGGTTTTTCAGCTTCCATTTGGCCCATAGCTGGAGGAGACAGGAGAGCCTATGAACCGTGGTCTCCCTTCCCACCTTCACCCCTCCTCAGCAGTCATGCGCGTAATTCGGTTTATGGATTCCACCTCTCCGTCAGAACCAGTGAATCAGGCCCCATGTATACAATCAGCAGAATCAAGTGGCGAAACCTTCCCCTTCAGTTAACCACTCTGAAACTCCCTCCCCTCTGGGGAGCATTCATACATGAAGAACTCACTACAACCTGAAATGACAATTCAAGACAATATGGTTCTGGGGACATATTAAACCTCCTGTCCAACAAGCGATCTCCGGTGCCCACCTTTGTTCTTACTGCCAGGTACACAACTATAGACTCATAGTTAGGGCTTTCCCGCATTCTGATCTTTCTTGCTTGTCGTGTTCCTGTTGTTCTGGGGTTTCCCCCCGTTCTGCACATGTTTGGCTCCCTCTGGTGGTTGATTCGATATTACACAGCTGTATGTCTGGCATAAAGACCTGCAGTTTAAATCTGTAGGGAAACGGGCTGAACATAAACCAATGTAATATCAAATGGACCACTAGAGAGAAAAGAATGTGTGGAACAGACCCCCCCCCCCCCCCAAAAAAAAGAAACAGGAACTTACAATTCAGGAATATGAGAATGCGGGAAAGCCCACTGTTGCAGCAGAGGAAAAACTGGAAACCCACTTCTGACAACAGGTATGCTCATTCCCACTGACAGAGATCCCGCACAGGGGCTTAGTAGGTCTCTGTCCAAGGTCAGAATCCATCCACCTGCTCTCCCAGAGTCTCTGTAACATCCCTTCCACTACTTCTTGCCTGTCACAACAGCAAGCATTTTCTTAGTGCACAGAAAAGAGGTCTGAGAGATATTTTCCTGCCTATCCAGCACCGCTGTCTAGATGAGCCTTGGAACCCACGTATTCTTATTTCACTGGCCCGCACATATAATAAGCATACGTGTTTCCACATCAGAAATAAATCTAAATGAGCTTGTAAGCTGAAGCTGTCTTTGATAAGAGACAGCAGCAACTATTTTGAAGATTCCCTGGCAGGGCTTTTTTTTGTAGAAAAATCCCAGCAGGAACTCATTAGCATAATAGGCCACACCCAACAGCAGAAATTCATTAGCATATTAGGCCACACCCCTGAGAGCACATCTCATTAGCATATTAGGCCACACCCCATGTCACCAGAAGTGAGGTTATCCAGCCACGCCCACCATTTGCTTCTTATTCTGTTTACCTTGTTTGTTGTCAAAACCCAGGGCCTTTTTTTGTAGCAGGAACACTTTGCATGTTAGGCCACACACCCCTAATGTAGCCAATCCTAATGAGTGTCTGCTATTGGGTGTGGCCTATTATGCTAATGCGTTCCTGCTGGGTGTAGCCAACTTAGAAGCCAGCCGGAATTCCATTCCTGTGCGTTCCTGCCCAAAAATAGCCCTGTTCCCTGGAATGATTATGATTCAAAGTCTCGAGTTTATTGATTGCCTCAGGGCTTTTATTCTGGGAGAATATGCTGGAACGGAGTTCCAGAACCTCTTCGTGGAAACAAAATGCTCAAAAATATTATTATTTATAAAAATTGTTAGATCTCCCTTAACAGTCCTTGATCCAACAAAGTACGTTAAAACATGGTTGCTTCAAGGTCCTCCTTAAGCGTTAGGCACCAAAAGCGAGACCCAAAAAAGAACTGAGGAAGTTGGTGACATGTCTAAAGTTTGGAAACTGCTTTAAAGCTGAGGTAAGTCCTTAGCGCATGAAAATAATATTGTTTCAAAGAACCCTGTACGTTTCTCCTTCGTTTACCTCTTGAGAGTTCCAGCACCTATTTTTCCAGAAAAAACGCCCTGCTTAGCAGTAGTTCTTCTTTCCCCACACTTCCTCCCCCACCCTCCCACCTCTCTTCTCATTGGCTGCAACACGGCTCACAGGACCGGCTCTCTGTTCAGCAAGGGAAGGAGGGAAATCCTTGTGTGCACCACAAAATGTGCCATCCACAGATGCACAAGAGAATCTCTCTGGATCAGGACAACACAGATCCCATCTTCAAGTCTCAGTGCTGATACAAACATTCAAACTGATCCAAGTGCCAATTCATGTCACACCAACACATTATCAAAGCAAAGTCAACTTACTGTCCTTTGGCATCCGTCACATCGGGATTATCTGTGACTTCTAGTAAAAGCCGTAAACATGGTGTATGTCCGCTGATGACTGCAAAGGACAAAAAGCACTTTCTTTAGCATTCGGGGAGGGGCCGTGGTTTGGTGGAAGAGCCTCTGCTTGGCATGCAGAAGGTCCCAGGTTCAATCCCCAGCATCTCCAATTGAAAATGACCAGGTGGAAGGCAATGCTCCCTCAAAGCTGTGGGGTCTTGTGAGCAAAAATTGTGAGCTACTGAGATTAAAGTTGTGAGCGAACTATTTGGCTACTGCATAAATTAGTTTGCTCTGGTGCCCTCCTTCCTGAGCTCAGACAGAAATGTGTGAGCCAGAGGCTAAAAAACTGTGAGCTAGCTCACACTCACTCACCTTAGAGGGAACACTGGTGGAAAGTGATGTGAAAGACCCCTGCCTGAGACCCCGGAGAGCCGCTACCAGTCTGAGTAGACGGTACTGACTTCGATGGTCTCTCCTGCAGCTCTTCAACGCACAGACGAAGACACCACTCTGCTTAAAAAGCAGCTTGTTTTCTCCTCTGCACGGATGCTTCCTGTGGGCCGCAGCTAAGGTCTCGAAACAGGAAACCGAATCACTTACCTGAGGCATGAAGAGGGGTTCGTTGGGTGACGTTATCTTTGACTAAGATGGAGGCACCCTGGTTCACGAGAGCTTCAACACATTCAGCGTGTCCTTTAAATGCGGCCAGGTCCAAAGCCGTACGGCCCCTCTCGTCCTTAATATCCAGGTCTACCAGAGACTGGAGAAGCACTTCCAAGGCCTGATGATGACCGTTGTAGGCCTAGAGGATTTTTTTTAAAAATGGATTCACGAAGGATAAATCCAAAACACCTGTGCATTTATTTTCACTAATTAGGTATGGGTTACACATTCTATCTGTCTATCTGTCTATTTATTTATCTATCCACACACACACATATTCATGTACACAACACAGACAGTAGGGTCTGTTCCCCGCCGACCCGGATCGGGCCACCAGGGGGAGCCCCACCCTCAAAGTGCCGGGATCACAGAGACGTGCCCGGCGTGATGACGTCACCTGGAGTGACATCATCGCATCGGACACGGTGCAGGGGGACGCTCTATCATTTGAGGGGAAACGCTATCGTTTTCCCTCGAATGATAGTGGCCCCGCCCCCAATGTGATGACGTCACTTCCGGGTGACATCATTGCAGCGCGGGCGCAAAGCACACACAGCAAAGGCCTCCTGGAGAGGGCCGGGACTCCCCCCACTGCAGCCAAGGTAGGACTTGGCAACCCTGCACGGACATAAAACATATAATTACATAAAATGGGTTACATATAACAAATTAATCAAGATTTAATACATTAAAATAAAAACCATAAAGTAAAATGATTCAGCGTACAGAATGCAACACTTCTGACCTAAGCTTTAAAATGTTGCATTTTGTATTTTCAATAATTTTACTTTATGGCTTGTATTTTAACAATTTGTACCACTGAGGAAGGCCTTGCAGCCAAAACCCGTTTGATTTTAATTGTTTTCCCCCATTTGTAATATATTAAAGCCTGATTACATTTATTATATTTACCCCATTAATATTTATTCTGTTATTAGGCAGTCTGTCAACCTTCTTGGTTACTTGGTTTTTCTGAGTTATTGTCTTTACTGTTTTTGCAACTGGAGTCATAAACAGCAATTTATTTATTATATTTATACCCCACCCATCCTGCGAACAGGCTCAGGGCGGCTAATAACAACAACAACAACAACAACAATAATAATGTTGTTTTCTGAGTTGAAGTTTTTTTCTTTCTCTTTTGGTCATGAGAACAGAATACACAGGAAGATACGTACTCAAAACTCATATTTATTTTCCTCTTCCAAGTATACAAAGCAGAGTGCTGATCAAAGGTTATCCAAACTCCATGCTTATAAGCCTTCTCCAAGAAACACGCTATCCCAATAAACTGGATTTACATTCCTTTATCTCAAGCAACAGATGTAAAGAAGACTAGGAACTTAGCATGACCACAGATCGAAGTTCTCAAAGAGCTCTCTCAGCCCCACCTGCCTCACAGGGGGCGTTCAGATGGGCCGTTTAGTCCGCTTTCGATATGCTTCAGTAGCGGATTTTATATCCACGTTCACACCCCCAACATGTGCGCACTGTCCCCAGCCGTCGCTTTCCGGCTCAAACCCCCTTTAAAATGGAGTATTTTGTTACCAGGTCCCCAAATGGTGTTTTCCTGATTCTCCGGTTCTAGCTACATTTTTCTGAGGTCTGATCGCTCCTGCGGTGTCAACAATGTTTAAACGGTGCCTAGTTTTGTTGGTTACACAAGTTCAGGATCTCACGGAGGCCAGTTTCGGGGTAAAAGTTTAAAGGGAAGTGTTCCTTTAAAGTTTAAAGGGAAGTGTTACAGCAGTTGGGTTGAAGTGGAAATTGCTGTTCTGCGCACGTGTGACAATTTTAATTCTACCGATGGCCACCTGTGCGCATGCCCAAACTGAGGGGGGGAAACACTGACGCATGCTCCCGCGTGTGGACGGCAGGGAGCGATGTGGCTGTGCAGCAATCCGGAACAAGGAGGTGAGTGTGATCGCAATTCTCCAGGTTAAAAAAACCCGCATCGGGACCAGAGCAATTTAAACCGCTCCCAGCACGCTGTCTGACCGCACCCACAGGGTGTCTGTTGTGGGGAGGGGAAGGTAAAGGAGATTGTAAGCTGCTCTGAGACTCCTTCAGGTAGCGAAGGGCAGGGTATAAATCCAATCCAATTTAAACCGCTCCCAGCACACTGTCTGACCGCACCCACAGGGTGTCTGTTGTGGGGAGGGGAAGGGAAAGGAGATTGTAAGCTGCTCTGAGACTCCTTCAGGTAGCGAAGGGCAGGGTATAAATCCAATCTCTCTCTCCCTTTTCTGAGATTGTGGTGACTGTTAATTTCTTCTACCCTCTTATCAGGGATTCCTTGGGTATTAAAGGTAAAGGTTCCCTTGCTCGAAAGCCAGTCGAATCTGACTCTAGGGTTGCGGTGCTGATCTCCGTCTCAAAGCCGAAGAGCCAGCGCTGTCCGAAGACGTTTCTGTGGTCATGTGGCCGGCATGACTAAACACCAAGGCGCATGGAACGCTGTGACCTTCCCACCGAAGTGCTACCTATTTATCTACTTGCAATTTCTTGCTTTCGAACTACTAGGTTGGCAGGAGCTGGAACTAGAGACGGGAGCTCACCCCGTCTTGCGGCACCCGGGTCTTGAACTCCTGAACTACTGACCTTCCACAGCCTGCAGTTCAGCATCTTAACCACTTGAGCCACCGCAGCTTCTTCCTTGGGTATTAGCATGTTTTAAAATTAGTGGAAATTTAAATAATACAATCTAGTGTGGTGTTTCCCTAAAGCAATCTTAATTGAAGAACAACCTACTTTTAAAAAAAAGAATATGGTGGAGGTCACTTAATTCACCAAAAGGTACTGTAATGGAACAATTCATAAAGTGTAAGCGCTGACAAGACACTCCAATTTTGTTCCCAGCTAAAAATGTAATGTACACGCAGGCCTCAATTAGTATTTGGTCTTGAAATTCCCTGACCCACACTGAACTGGCTATGAGTGAACCCTCCAGGGGTCATTTCCTGCAGGAGCGCACAGGAGCGGAGCTCCGGCAGTAAAGAGCCCAGGGGGCGGGCACACCATTGTTAATTTGGACCTTAGCCGTGAAAGAGTGACCAATCAGTTTGCACCTAATGTTTTAGAAAACAGTGTACAATTTAAATCAGTCCAAAGTAGGGTTGCCAATTCTGAGTTGAGAAATTCGTGGGGATTTTGGATGCAGAGCCTGGGGAGGGCAGGGTCTGAGGAGAGGAGAGAACTCACTGGGATATAATGTCATAGAATCCATCCTGCAGAGCAGCCATTTTGTGACCTCTGTAGCAAACTGTAATTCTGGGAGATCTCCAGGTTCCACCTGGTGCTTGGCAAACCTAGCCCAAAGCCTTAACCTATACAGATCTGACCACATCTCTTTTTGTTGATCTACTTTTAGGTCAAAGAGAGTGTATTACGTTAAACCAGGAACTGAAATTGAACAAGTCACTAATTTACCTCAGAGGGATACAAATGTGACAGGCAGATTTACACACATTTTTCCCCCCAGGAGAGGCTGTTTGATAGTTTGAATTAGACCACAAGCCTAAAATTCATATACTTACAGCTAAGTGCAAAGGGCTTTTTGTAGCAGCTGCATCCGACTCCTCCAAATTGTTGCTGGTTTTCTCTAGAAGCTGCAACAAATAAAGAAAGTGGTACGTTTTTGTATCTGTGATAGTAACATCACAGCTATAAAACACATGTTTTTGAAAAGTTATATAAAACACATGTTTTTTGAATTATAGCCCAGGAAATCCTGCTGATGGGTCCTAAGAACTCCAGTATAAGGCACAGGGTGTAGGGAGAACACAATTTACCCACACCGTTGTAGTATCTGAGCAATACTGTATTGGCGACTTGGGGGGGGGTGCAGTAGATGGTGTTGGTGGATAGAGAGGAAAGGAATTTCACCCACAGCTTTCCTGTCATGACCAAGATGCTAACAATTATATTTTTGCATCTTAAAGACGAACAAAATTTGTGGCAGGGTATGAGCATTTGTGAGTCACTGCTCACTTCTTCAGATCCAGCAAGAATGTGATTCCATCTGTTCTTATATCTTGGATAGTGGAGTGATTTCAGATACCAAGTGACAGTAGGAGGCGAATGACAATAGCAGGTGAATGACAACAAGCAGGCATGACTGGATTAGGTGTGATACGAAGAGGAGTGACAGGCATGGAGAAATTAGCATTGGTAATGAGACAGGAAACCTAGACCTTGATTCAGTCCAGGATGATGCACTGTCTTGAGCGTCATTATCAGTTGCAACTCAGCAGTTTTCTACTGCTACAGACAAACTAAAACAGCTTCCCTTCTTGAATTATCTTTTAATTGACCTTGGGGTATACTTACCAACAACCTGAAGACAAGAAATGTCCTGTCCAATGTTCCCTCTAAGCTGTGGAGTCTTGAGAGCAAAAATTCTGCTTTGTGAGCTACTGGCATTAAAGTTGTGAGTGAGCGATTTGGCTACTGCATAAATCAGTTTGCTCTGGAGCTATCCCTTCCTGAGCTGAGACGAAAATGTGTGAGCCAGAGGCTAAAAAACTGTGAGCTAGCTCACACTAACTCAGCTTAGAGGGAACACTGGTCCTGTCCCTCTAACAGAAGTTTCATGAGATCTTATTTACCAGGTGACATTTACTGCTGTGCTACGAAAAGATTCAGCTGCCCACTTCCACATATTAAGCTACTGTTAAAGGGGCAAGACATTCCCACCCCCAGGTTGTTCGAAACGCTACCTGGGGAACAGACTAAATGCCGGGGGGGGGGAGGGGGTTCCACTCCTGGTACAGACCCTCATCAACACATGGCAGAGAGATGTGCATGCAGCCAGAGGTTTCTCTACTGTTCTGCTGCTGCCCGGAAATATGAAACCAGTTCACATCTTCAGCAGTTGCTGCGCCAAAAAAGGAAGGGCAGTTCTAGCGTAGGGTTCCCAAACCGCGGCGGGGGATCCATGCGTGTTCGCAGGATCGCTGCCGTGGGGGGACAGCGTAGCGTCACATCCTGGCGACGCCGGTGCAGCGCGGATTGCTGTCCCCCCGCGGCAGCGATCCTGCGAACACGCATGGATCCCCCGCCGCGGTTTGGGAACCCTA